TTTTAAATTTGATTACATTTTTTAATTTTGAATTGATATTTTAATATCTAAATATAAGTTAAAAGTCTAGTTATCTTTAAAAATCGAAATTAATTGCACTACCCTCTTAAAATTTTATTTGTTTTTTATCAAATTCTTTTATACATTATACAAAATAAATATTGATTAAATTTTGTTAATGTAAAAATAACTCTTCAATATTTATAATCACTTGAATTTGTTTTAGATGTTTCTATTTTACAATCCGTCTTACAACGGACTGTAATATCAAAAGATTATCATAAGAAGGGAGAGCTAAACCCAATATGAAGGAGGCCACCAAGTTAGTTTTTACTTTAGTTATCATTTTTTAAGTCTTTGTAATGCCTAATTTTTAACATGCCTCTTGCATGGTTAAAGTCAAGTTTATTTGTAATGTTTTTATATTTAATTTTTTATAATATAGGACATGATCAAGATCTGGTAAATTTTAAAATTAAATGAAAGTGAATAATTTTAAATTTTAAATTAAAAAAATCAACTTATTAGGGTATTATGTACTTTAAATTTTAATAATCACGATGTCATTTAAAAATTCAGGAGTTTGAGGATTTAATTATTAATTTAAAGTCATTAATTTATATGTATTCTGCCTTTTAGTAATGTGTACCACCTATTAAAAAAAAAAACCCTACAAATATTCATAAAATTACTAAAAGGTCATATTTCAATCAACCTAAATACAATCAAACTCCCAGTAATTTATAAAATTGTCACTACTTTAGACTTTCTAAGAAAATAAATGAACAAAGAAGAGAGACAAAGAAAAAAAAAATGTTGATTTTACTCTCCTATCTTACTTTATTTAGATTTGTATTGACATAATTAACGAGGATTTAAAGGGTTGAGTTATTATTATATCATAAATAATTAATATTATATTATTTTAATATAATTATTTATTATATTTTATTGTTATTGTTTTAAAAATGTTATATTTTTTAATAAATTAAAAAATATAATAATTAATTAAAATAAAAATATTACATTAATAATTAAAGATATAATAATAATATCACTGTGTAAATGAGAGAGTAAAAGAAATTGAAAATAGAGAAATTATATTCCTAATTAAGTAATTACCTAGTTAGTTTTGTTTAGTTTGTTTAGACATTAAAATCATTAACCAAATTAATTATGTTGATTTTGTATTTTTTAGATGCAAAGAAATCTGATTCGAGTACAGTTTGAACAATTTTTAATCAAATGGAATTGGTTCGATTCAATCATCATTTTAGTTCAATTTTCAGCACTCAATTTAGGATTAACCTTGTACCATCGCACCTGCAACTTTGGTTGCATTGGTCTAGGTACACTTAACTCTTTAATTGTTGCACTAGTAGTTTCCCTATCCCCTTTTTCCATAATTTTAAAAATCAAATCAGATTCATTGGTCGGACTAGTTAAACCTATACCTAGTATCATAAATGGTTCGGGTGCATCTTTTAAACTGCTTAAAAGATCTGAAATATGTAAGAACCGTTGAAACTATTCAAATCGATAAACCATTCGGTTGAACAATTCATTGCTGGGTATAAATCTTGGCAAACTTGTCTCCCGCAAGGCTTGAACCTTTAACATTCAAGGCTTTAATCTGATTTTTGCTACCAGAACCATGCAATACTTGTGTTGATGGGTGCGTGAAATTTTATTTATCTAATAGAACTCTCAAAACTTTTAACTAAATTATTGGTGACAACCATGGGATTCGAACACTCATTCTCCATGTTATTAGTATAAAGGGTTGTTTGGTAAAATTTGATGGAATTTTTACTTATTTTTATATTATTTATGGGTGAAAATTTT